AAAAAAAAAAAAAAAAAAAAAAAAAAAAAAAAAAAAAAAAAAAAAAAAAAAAAGACAAAGGGCAACCAAGACATGCTGCTCGATGTAGGGGTGCCACAGCCCCTTGGCTGGGGGTCTGGATGGGACTCCCCCAAATACCACGCATTTGCCACAATGGCAGTGCAGGACAGCTGCACATACAGCTCAGTTCAGAGCCCCATGTGGCACAGCCAAAGCATCCCTGAATGCTTGGCTTGGCCCTTGAGAGTCCCCTCAGCTGCTTGAGGGCTGCAAGGCCACATGCTCACCTCAGGGGGTGCCACGGCCCTTTGAAAAAATGACTAGGGCTTCAGACTGGGGTCCAAGACCAGAAACCAAGCCAGGGGCAAAGGCTGAAGCCCTAACAGCAGTGCCCAGCACAGATGCCAATCCTTGACCAGGCAGCACGCCTGTCATCCAGCACTCCGGAAGTCTGACAGGAGGCAGCAGGCTGGAGCAGGCAACTTAGTGGCGTATGGTCTTTCATCTCAGAATAAAACATAAAAAGGACTGGGGACATAGCTCAGTGTGGAGGCCCTCGGGTTCAACCCCCACCACCAGAGAGAGATGTGTGCTTTCTGGTCCCGGTGCTGGTCTTGCCTCAAGCGGCAGCAGTGACCAGCAGTGCCCTGGCTGGAGCCCACACGTGCAGAGCTCAGCCGGGGTCAGCCTCTCTCCTCGTCTCATGGGGCACCTGGCTTCAACTTAGCCCCTCGGCCATGTCGATGGCCCCGGTGGTCCTTCCCACACTCACTGGGAGGCGCCTGTCCTACACAGACCTGGCTGTGGGAAGGGAGGGGCCGTCCACCCTGCTCCAGCCCCTCACAGCCTCCCTGGGGACAGGCATGGCCAGCACCTGCCCCAGACAGCTGGAGCAGCCCCAGAGGCCTGGCCACTCTGGGGAGGTGAGTGAAGCTGCAGGGGTAGCAGGCCATGGTTAGGGCCAAAAGACAGGATGGGAGCAGCCTCAGCCCACCCTCCCTCCCACAGGGAGCACCGCCCCGTCCCAGGCAAGGCGGGCACTGAGGCTGTGTCCTGCCCAAGCAGAGGCAGCACTGGCACAAGGAGGCAGAATGGAGGAAGCTGCCACCGTGCCCCATGGGCTGGAGCAAAGCCAGGTTAGGGTCCGGGAGGTCTGGGCAGCAGGCTCAGCCCAGCGCCCACCACCGTTAGTGCACATGGAGCAGCTGCGTACCTACCTCACTGGATCACACACAGCCTTTTTGTTTTATTATCATCAGAATCAGGGGCAACCTCTGCTTTCAAATGAAAGAAAGGTACTCAGCAGCTTATCCCAGGTGACAGAGGGGCTGCCATCCTCGGGCAACAGGTGCAGAACAGCACCATACCCGGTTCTCTGTGGGGAGCCCCATGCAGTGTGCCGGGCCTGGTGCCAGCCCCATGCAGCATGGCATGAGCCACCCACTCCCTGCAGGGGCTGTGAAGGCGGGCAGAGTGGGTTTGGGGTACAACGATGCGGTCCTTGTGGTAAAGCACTGTCCCCCCATGTGCCCCAGTCACCCTCTCTCCTAGACGCTGCTGGAACCGGCAGCGCCCTCTGGGGGAGGGGAGGGACACATCACCAGGCGGTGGCCCCGTGAGGGAGCGGCCCTGAGCCCTGCAGGGATGGGAGCCTTTACTATGAGCCCCACAACTGAGCCCCTCTTGCCACCCAGCCCAGCCCCAAGTTACCCTCCTGGCTCCGAGAGGGGCGCTTCTTCCTCCGCCTGCTGGAGCCTTTCGAGGCCCGGTCCTGGGCCCTGGGGAGGGTGCCAGATCCGGAGGAGTCCGTCACTGCGTCCTCGGAGGACTTGTCCAGGGATGTGTCCAGTGCAGACTCCGGGGCCATGTCCTCCCTGTCCTCTTCCCCACTAGGTCCTATGTCCTCTGGCCCCAGGCTTGTGCTGTCTGCCTTGGCCTGGTGGACACCCTGAGAGGCTGCAGGGTCCTCATGGTCCTGGGGCCCCAAACTCTTTGATCCTGGGGGCTCCTCAATGGAGAACTGCAGAGGCTTCAGGGCCTGTGAGTCTCCCAGGGCCACTGGGCAGGCCTTCTTGGAGGGGCAGGCATTCAGGGCATCCTCGGTGTCCAGAAAATCACTGGCATCCACATACCAGGAGGAGCGCCGCTCCAGGGGCGGTAGGCTGCTCTCCCTGCCAGGGGGCACTGGGCTGGGGGTCACGGCATCCACAAGGTCCCAGCCCTGTGGTGCACTAGCCACTGTGGTATGATGGTCCAAATCCGGGGCAAGGCAGCTTGTGCCACCCGCGGGGCCCTGTGCAGGGTCACTGGCAGCTGCTGTGGGTGGAGAGATGCATGCTCAGAGAAGGGCAAGGGCCTGCCCCACCCTTCCTGACTGACTGTTAATCTCTGCTGTGTCAGAGGCCCCAGAGGGTCTGAGTCTCACTCTGTCCACAATGTAGAGCAGGGATACCCTAGGGTCTACACAGACCACCACTGTTCCCAGAGCCTGGGGAAAAGCTGTCAGAAAGCGGCCCCTCCTATGGCCCGCCCATCCCACCACCAAATTCTTGAGCCCAGGGGAGTCTGTTGATGGGTCACCAAACCCCAGCTCTCCTGGTGTGCAGGGCCAGATGGGGCTGGACAGGAAGTCAGACGGGGCTGGACAGGACTGTCCACAGCAGTGGCAGATACCCCCCCACCAAGGTATGATAGCAGTCAGGGTTTCCTCTGCCAGGGTGCGGGGCCGGGTGGCACACTCTAAGGTTGCAGGGGTGCAGGATGGGAGCAGGGGAACCATTCAGAAGCAGCAGGCAGGGTCTCACCAGGCTCCCGGACCCTGAGGGAGTCCACTGTGGCTGCCTTGCTGACCCCTTCAGAGTCTCCTCGGCCACGGGCTGTCTTGCGCAGCTGGAAGCCCTTCCTGATGTCCGCCAGCAGGGCATCAATCACACACACCTCCTCCTGCCTCCCAGGTGCCTTCCTCCCTAAGGAGTCAGGGGCGCTCAGAGATGCGCTGGGGACCTAGATCCCACCCCAGGGTCCTGGGAAGGACAGATCCTACTGGGGCAAACTGTAGGACTCGTGCAAGGGACAAGAATGTCCGCTGCTTCTGCCCCAGCCCATCCTACCCGAGCCCAGCCTATCCCACCCGAGCCCAGCCTCACCAGGCTTCCCATCCTCGCCCCGAGGCCTTCGTGCCTCCTCCTCTGCCAGCTGCCGTTTCCTTCTCTCTGCCTTCTCCACCTGCTCCTTCCTGTCCTTGTTCTCCTGCTCAGGCAGACAGGAACCTGTCACCCAGCCCTGCAGCCCTCTGCAGGCCAGAGCCCAGGGTGTGGCATGGGTGGCCACATTTCTCTCCCCAGCTGCAGGGTCGCACAGCTGGATCCATTCAGCCCTCTGGTCATAGCAAAGGGCCACAGGACCCCACTCTGGCCTCAGGCGGCCCCTCCTACCTTCAGGGCACTTGTGAAGAGGTCCCGGAAGGTTCTCATGGTGCTGAATGTGTCCTCCAGGGACAGCTTCTGGGGGTCTTCACACAGGTAGTCGGCCAGCTCCAGCTTCTTCTGCTCGATGGCCTCAAACACTATGTTCAGCTCTTCAGAGGCCATGATGCTGGCCTGGGGGCAGGGCGTCAGTCACCCACCCAAGGGTCAGCGGGGTTGGGAAGCAGCCATGGGCAGATGCTTGTGAGGACCTGCGCACCTGGACCCACCTTGGGGAGGCCACCACCCTGGATGCTGCCTCTGTGACCCCCTCCGGCCTGGCTGGTCCTAGATGGGCACCCCCTCCTGAAGCCTCCCCCTCCAGCCTCTCTGGCCAACAGCTGGGATCTGCGCCCACTTGCCTGCAGACGCTGCTGGTACTGCTCCTGCACCTCAGGGACTGAGGCAGACACCTTCCGCTCCGTGTCCAGCAGCTTTTTCAGGTTGGTGCTGGCCTCTGTGAGGATGATCTCCACGTTGATCCTGAAAGGCACCAGGGACAGGCCAACTCAGGGAGAGCCAACACCCAGCCTCCCAAGGGTCAGGGGGCTGTATCCACATCCTACCAGGGACGAGGTGCTGCATTGTGCACCAGGCCAGCAGGGAAGGAGCTCAGCTGCCTTCCTGTCTGACTGGCCCCAAGGTCCAGTAGCTGCTGGGCCAGAGAGGCATCTGTCTGGGGTGGTGGAACCTGGTTAGGTCTGGAGTGGGTGCTGGCTGGCCTCCCAAAGCCACGGGTGGTGGGACCCAGAAGGTAACATGGCTGCCCTGGTTTCCTCTTCTGTACCTTGGGGTGGCGTGACATTGCTTTCCGGCTGAGCCTGTCAACAGGTTGTGCCAGCCCCAGGCCACCCCCTGCCTTCTAGGCCTCATTGCCTGTCTGGGCCACATGGAGACAAAGGCCAGAGCAGAGGCCAAGTCCTGTCCCAAAGAGAAGGTCAGTGCCCTATCAGGCTGCAGGTCCCATACCTGCCAGGGACTCCCTGTGGCCTATGCCAGCCCTGTTTGCAGCCTCCGTGGCTGGGGCAGAAGCTGGAGGGCCAGGCCCCTGCAGGGCTGGGGGAGCCACCTACCCTGCTGCTTGGGATGGCTGCTCCAGGTCCGCAGGCAGCTGCAGGAGGTCCGGGTGGCTCTTTTCCACTTCCTGCAACAGGAGGTGTCCAGTAAGACTCACTTCAGCCCCCTGGACCTGGGGCTTCTTCCCCTCCTGCTCTAACCCTTAGCAACTGAGGATCACAAACCCTCAGCCTGGGGCCCCCTGGGGCCTTCCCTGGCACCTGGCCATGTGACATTTTTGCTTTTCTTGGGCCTGCCCCACACTGCACAGGGCCAGGTGTTCTGGGGAGAGACAGGGGCTGCTGGAGGGATGCTGCCTCCATCCCGCAGTCCCTGGCAGGCCCACCTCCAGCACATGGTGCAGCAGGGTCACGCGGTTCTGCTGTGACTTGGTCTCCGTGAGCTTCAGCAGCGTGCTGATCTTGAAACCGTCAGCATTCCCCGTGTGGCTGCCCTGTGGAGGACCAGGAGTGAGTCCCCTGCCTCCCCAGGCCGGTCATCAGCACAGTGGCACCTCTGACTCACATAGTTGAGAAAGTTCCCAATCTTCAGGATCAGCTGGCAGAAGACGGGCAGCCGGTGGCTGGTAAGCAGGCCTGTGGGGCAGGAGGCCGTGAGGCAGGGACACGGCCAGAGGCCTCCTTGCCTGGTGTGGGGCTTAACTCTTTCACTCCCTGGCCCCAGCCCCTCCTTGGCTCAGTACAGCACAGGGCTGCCCCTTCCGCTCGGCACCTAGTCTGTCCCCTCCTGTGCTGGGCCTGTCCCTCCTGCCTTCCCAGCCAAACTCACCCTCACAGGCGCTGAGTACCAGCTGGGCCTTGGGCCGCACCATGTCCAGCACGACAGCCGTGCCCTCACAGAGCAGCATGCACTCAATCCGCAGCTGGTAGCTGCCAGGAAACAACAGGTCAGGGCTGGGCTGCTTGCTGCCATCAATGTCTGCTGGGCACAGCGCGCTGGCTATGTTCCGCATGCACATTCCCAGGCCCGCCCAAGCCCGATTCCTCACAGCTAGTGGTTGTAGTTCTGGGGATGTGGGAGGCCTTCCCAGGAGGAACCTGGCCCCCAAAGACCCCTCAGGCCCCTGCTTTTTGCAGGGGAGGGCTGGGGACAAGGGACACACATATGTGTAGCCCCTCCCCATCTTGCAGGCTCCCTCCCAAGGTCATGCTCACCAGGGGATGTCCAGCAGGAGGACATAGAACTGGTCGGCGTTGGCCAGCTTGGCTCGCTCTTCTGTGAACGCCCGAAGGTTCTCAATCTGCCGGGAGGCACTCGTGGGGTTTGCTGGATGTATGCATGTGCACATACACTTGCACACACACCCATCCCTGTGCATGCCAGCTACTGCCCTTCCCAGGAAGCCCTCTTGGCCTGTGTTCTCACTGCTCCAGGTAGGATGGCCTGGGCTCCTCCCCTACCCTGTCCCCACTGAGAGAGCCAGGACAGAGCCTGCACCATGCTCCTTGTGGCCTGGGAGCCCAGCTGACCTCGTGCTTCTCTGGAAGGAGCTTCAGAAGCTGTTTGAGAACCTCCACATCGAACTTGGCCGTGTCCCCGGCCCGGATCATAGCAGTGACCTCCTCGTTGGAGCTGGAGGGGTGACAAGGCAGGGACTGGTGAGTGAGAAAGCCCTGGTCTCCTGGGAGCCTCAGTAGCAGGGTCTCAGGCGGTCAGTTTGGCCAGGTCTGGTGGAACACAGAGGGTAAGCTGTCTGCCCAGTGTCACTGGGGAAAGGAGGCTCAGGTGGCTAGTGCTGCCTAACTGCCTCCCTCCCAGGCTTCTAGGGTGACGGGAATGGCTCAGGGGTACTCATTGGGTCCATGCAAGGCTAGTGCTGAACCCCTGCAGCAGGGAAGGTTGAGGGGCCCTCACCCAGAACTGGCCAAGGCATGTCTGTGGCCCTAGGGATGAGCCCAGCTGCTCTAGGCCTGTCCCATCCAACACCTGGCTCCAGCCTGGAGTTGGAGCTCACTGCCCCAGGGTGGCCTTGGGCACTGGGCTCAGGACTCTCACCATTTGAACTGCTTCAGGAAGATGTTGAGGTTCAAGCTCTTCTTGGCATCCAGAAAAGTGACCTGGAAGACCCGGCAAGGCTAGAACCTGGATGGCAGCCAGTGGGTGACCCCATCCAGCCCGTCCTGTCCCCACCTCCTTGGGCTCCTTCCTGGCAGGGGTGGCTGTGGGCTCCCTGGGCTTGGTGGTGGGGAAGGAGAAGAGCCTCTCGATGCTGGAGAAGTCAAGGTCCACCTGCTGGGTGCCCAGCCCGCTCAGTGTGGCCCACATGGAGTTGCGCTCTGCAGGGAGGGGCTGCCATCAGGCCCATGCCCTCCCCGGCCAGGTGCAGCACACAGTAGGCACCCACCCTGCCCCAGTGCTGTCCTGCACCCCAAACGTGGACACGATGTGTGCATTCCTGTGTCTGATGGCGCAGGCACAGCGCACACAGGGTTGGTTGGCCTTGGCAAATGAGGTGGGCACCTCAAAGGCTGGCAGAGCTGGGCACGTGCAGGCCTCACCTTGGGCCACGTTGGACGGCAGCTTCTGCCAGTTGAGTTTCTTCATGCGCAGGGTTGGGGGGTTCACACAGCGGTGGCTGGGGACCCACGTGGAGCCCAGGCCGTGGTCCACCTGGGCCACAATGATCTCCTCAACACCAGCCGCCAGGGGGAGCCCAGAGATACCGGGCCCCCAGCCCACACCAGTGGGTGGGGGAGGGGGAGGCAGTGGACACCCTGTGCCAGGAAG